ATGTAGTACATGTGGCTGGAGCCCAGGGATAAGCATGGTGAGTGAGTTCAGGTATGCATCGGCCCGCATGCCAGGCCCGCCTTAAGTGTCGTACTGCATGGTCTCTGTTGGGGAATGTTGTGTTGCATACTAGGCACCTGTTGTCCACCTGTATTGTAGTTAAGATAGACGGTATACCATGTCCCACTCCCCTCGATTTAGTTTGATGCGTAACGAGCTGTTTCAACGTGTTGAAGCGCCTACCACAATGCTCGATCGTGCACTCGAACGGTTTGTTGATTTCGTCATCGCTGTCGGTCTCGGCGAGCGCATTCGCAGAGGGGAGGGAGTCGTTGAGGGTGATGTGTCCTGGGGGGGCCCATTGGGAGGTCCAGTAGGAGGCCCGAAGTGCTCGAACGTCGCAATACAGAAAGGTCTCTCGAACGTGTTCGTCCTCCCACAATGTTTTGACCACGGTCGGCTGCCACACCTCCTGAAAGCTCTCGCCTATTGGGTGTGTAGCCAGGCAAAGAAGATCGTCCGCGAGCTGCTGTGCCCACGGGTGAATGCTCGAGCCGCCGGCGATGATACCCTGCTCACTGAGGGTGGCCGCACTGACGGGGCGGTTGCTTGTGGCCGCCTGCTGCTCGAACCGACATCGTCCAAAACAGAGAGCAAGAAACTGGCCATGGTGGGTCGGGTCGCGGGTGATACTCTGCCACCAGCTGAGTCTGCGCACGAGAAGTTCGATGGCCGACGGTGCGATCTGCCACTCCTTAAACAACTGCTGGGTAGTGAGGGAGTGGTGAGTGTTCTGGTCATCGACGGTGTGTGCCTTGCCTTGCATCATAGCTCTAAGTTTGCGCGCGAGCGAACTATCTAGACGATGAAATTCCCGAGGACGAAGTACATAGCTTTCCGGGCCCGACCAGAGACGTCCCGCAACGTTCGAGAGGAAAGATAGTCGCTTTGCCTTCCAAGGGCCTCCTGAGAACCAATAGTTACCCAAGCACGTCCATCCAACATTGGACGACTGGAGCCTAGCTTCGAGTTCACGTCTGTTGTTGTTGGAGACGTGGACATATCCCCCAAGATGAATAAGATCCTGAACTGCATTCCCAGATATGTGACGTTCTGCGTCTTTGGTGGCCCCATGAGTTCCAAAAGATACGAGGGTGTCCTGCTTACCTATATTCTGAGCGTACCCGCCTAAGTTCAGGGCCTCCGAGAGCGAATTGTTGTCGATCTTATCTAGCTGAAGGGCCTGGAGCGCGGTGCCGTCGGGCACCAGCAGAATCTTAAAGAGGTCATCTATGAACGCGCCCAGGTTCGCATCGAACTGCACAGAAGCAAAAGGGCAGACAACTTGAAACGGGTTTCCTTGAACTTCGGCCATCTCCTCATTCCACCTGGACACCAAAGGATAAAAACTTTCCATAAACAGCTCTGGTTCATTCGAATCTCCCATCCTTCCTCCTGTTCCTGGCCGAAGGGCAAGGCTAGTGTCGGATGCCTGGAGGTAAACTACCGCTTCGGCTCGGTGCTGCTCAAGGAGGGGATGAAAGTGCTCGTCCGTGCACCGTGCACTGTGAGCGGCGAGGAGCCTCTGGTGGTCGCCCGTGGCGAAGGCGTTCCTCATATCATAAGACTTCGCAATGAAGGAAAGGCGGGCGGCGCGTAACTTCCAAATCAGCAACTTGGCGATCAACATGAGAGACTCACGTCGGCGAGAGTAGATGCCGCCGTAGGCCCATGATGGTGGTGCGTAGGGCGCACCATATTGGACTAATCCGACACGGAGATAGAGACGCCAAAAATGATCAAAACAATGAAGCAAACGAACGCTGGTGTGGATGTCGGTAATGGCGTTGCCAGTGGGGCTCTTGCCTTTCTTGCCGATCGCAACTGCATGACTGGTCACGGCTTGAGCTGGTAGGGGTCCACATCGATGGACGTGGGCAAGTAGGTTGACGAAGGTCTGGATGATGGTGTCGCAGTGGGCGTGGTCGAGCTGGAGTTTGCGCTTGCTCGGTTGGCTGATGTGGTGGGCGAGTGGGTCGGCGTGTTGGTAGTCGGCATCGGTGTGTCCCAGTCCCACTTGCTGGAGGCCTGGTCGAGTCAGGTACTGCGGGTTGAGTAGCATAATGGTGATCTCGAGTGGCCATGCCCAGGGCGGGCTGTATCTGCGGCGCTTCTCTCGCCACAGACGCTTCTGGATGTGCTCTAGCTCCTCGGCGGCGGCCTCGACGTCGGCGGTGTCGGGTGCACCTATAAATCCCCCCACCGGTGCCAAGTCGTTGGCGCGCTCGAGCATGCGCGGGATGGTAGTGGGGTCGTCGATGTACATGCTGACGTAGGCGGGGGTAGCCGTCATGCCTCCATTGATAGCCAGTTCGCCGAGGGCGGCGGTGTACTCAGCGGCTGTGGGGCGCGTGGACGGCAGCGCAAGGTATGAGCGTCGTCGTGGTCCAGTGCGGCGGCCCGCGCGTAAGTAGGTGAGGTGAGCCACGCGAGAGAGGTCACGTGATGCCCATGCGTCTCGTATGTCCTGGTCCAGACTGGCCTTCCACCAGTAATCCATCCGTCGTTGATGGGCTCGTAATTGATGTTGAATGTCGCGTAGGACGGTGCTGTTGAAGGGGAGGCGTCGCGCTCTGTGGTGTGCTCGGAGCTTGAGGAGGTCCAAGCGGTCTTGGCGTGCCTGCTGGTACCAGTGTGGTTGTTGGCCCTCCTTGGTGTAGTACTTGCGGCTGCACTCGCGGATGATGTGTGCCAGCAATGCGTTGTGTCTGGTAGGGAATTTGTCCATTTTGATGACACGAAAGGCTTCGCGGTGGGACTCGATGGTGGTGGCGACGTCCTGAATGAAGGTGGCACGCTGGTGTCCAACTTGAAGTCCCGCTGCGAGGAGGCCCCAGTCCCAAGGTATGTGGTGCTGGAGTGGAGAGCCGCTGCTGACATGGACCTTGAGCTGCATGGCCATTGGGATGTGGTCGGGGACGTGGTGGAGGCACCGTAGGATACTGTGGATCTTCCAGTTGAGGCGGATGTACTTGATGATTTCAGTGACGTTGTCGGGGCCAATGAAGTAGTCGATGCGCGAGCGGGATCGTTTGGGCCCATAGTACGTGTAGCCAACGTCCGCGTGCGTGTTGTAGGCCGTGAGTTCGTAGCGGAGCATCTGGTCGTGGACGTACCTGCCGAACTCCGTCTCGTCGCCGCCCTGGTGTGGGCCGATGGAGGTGTCTGTGAACGGCTGCCGTGCTCGGCGGCCCAGTCCCTGGTTGAGGTCCGTGAAGAGGATCGGAGTGACACGAGACGGGACGTCGTGCACGGCGGTGAGCACCCAGGACCAGAGTCGTTGACATCCATGGCGCCAAGCTCGATGTTGTCCAGGTCCGTTGGGGCGTGGTGGGAAGTAGGCAGTGACGAAGCGCAGGCGTAGTGGTCCTCTGTGTACTTCAACTGCTCCAGCTCGTCCGCGGAGGTCGGGTGTCGGTGGGTGGAGGATCTTGACAATATCGCTGCGTCGGAAGTGGCGCTTGGCGAGAGCTATGCTGCAGCCCGCAGAGCTGTTAGTGTGGGTGCCGCGGCCCCATCCGAAGTGGACCCAGTGATGATGCAGGGATTCGTCCACGTGGTGAGGCGTGTCGGGGGTGCGTTGTCGTATCTTCGTGCCGACACAGAGTATGGCCTGGTAGCTGCGGCACGTGTCGGAGATGAGGTCGAGTCGGCCTGGTTCGCCCTTGAGCGAGAAGGGGTTCCAGCCCAAGATGGTGATCGGCTTGAGCGAGGCCTGTGGTGGTCGTACGTCGGGATCGCCATCCGTGGGTGGGTCGTGCGGGGTGCGTGGTGGGCATGGTGAGCTGGCAGGAGCGCTAGGTGGTTGTGGGTGGGCGTGGGGCACGGGGCTCGTAGGAGCGCTGGAGTCGGAAGCAGGTCGAAATTCGCGATGTTCTGCCAGAAATTCATCTTCAGCGGAGTCGCGAAATAGACGAGGAGGGAGAGAGCCTCTGGATTCGCGCAGATCGTGTAATTCAAGTCGGCGAACTCTAGCTTCCTGAGGTGCTTGAAATGATCTGTTAAGTGATGGCCCGTCGGGAGCGTCGTGTGGTACGTGGCTGGGTTCCCCATCGTCACGAAAGTGGCGTAGAACGCGAGGCTGTCTGGATTCGTGAACTTCGCGAGATTGATCGAGGGGGCGTGGGTCTCGATGAAGTGCGGCTGTGGATTGTTCGGGAAAAGGAACGGCATCGTGATGAGAGGTGGCGGGTCCAGCAGCTTGGAGCACGCTGTCCAGTGCAGCCTGTAGTAGTCGCGTAGCGTCTCCTGCACGTGGTGGGGGGAGCGTCGTCTGCTGCTCGTAGTGGTGGCGACCATGGCACAGCGGCTTCTCAGTGTCCTCCATCAGGCGCGAGGTGCCCGCACGCTGGAGCACGCGCCTCGAGACATCGCGGCACTGAGAACGGGGTGGCTGCCGTGTGTGGCCCTCCGCCTCTGGGCTCGGCGGAGAGGGCTCTGGCTGGAGGCCGCTGAGTCTCCGAAAGGCCTGAGCGGGCGGCGGCCTTTGATGATGATGATGATGATGATGATGATGATGATGATGATGATGATGATGATGATGATGATGATGATGATGATGATGATGGCGATCCTGAGGAGGAGGGGGAGGAGGAGGAGGAGAAGGAGGAGGAGGAGGAGGAGGAGAGGAGAAGGAGGAGGAGCGGGGAGGCGGAGGAGGAGAGAGGAGGAGAAGGAGGAGGAGGAGGAGAGGAGGAGAGGAGGAGGAGGACAGAGGAGGAGGAGAGTAGGAGGAGGAGGAGGAGGAGGGGGAGGAGTAGAGGAGGTAGGGAGGAGCGGAGGAGGGGGAGGTAGGGAGGAGGGAGGAGGGGGAGGAGGGAGGGAGAGGAGGATGGAGGAGGAGGATGTAGGGAGGAGAAGAGTAGAGGAGTAGGAGGAGGAGCCCCCCCAACGCGCGCCTGCTGCCGCCGGTGCCGCCTCGGAGACGGCGGAGGCTGCCG